TATCTCAACGATAAAGCCAAATCCGGACCCAATTGATTGTTGCCAACCAACGAGGCGATTGGAAAGTTGACTGTGAACTGTCCAGTTCGTGGATCGACTTGCGTTTGCAAGGCATCTCCGAAATTACCGGCGTGGGACGTAAAATCTGAATTCATTTCAATTCCAAATGGAGTATTGAATCAAGGAAAACCAAATTTTCACTCTTTATGTGATTTGATTGTTTTTGATTTAGACACTTTGAATATTTTCAATAGAGCTATAGCCACTAAAGACACTTCTCTGAAACTCTCAGAAGATTAAACTAAAGAGAACTAACCATATAATGGGCCGAACGTTTTATTTATACAAGAAGTTTATCCAAAACTCAAAATGATAAGAAAATATGTTTGGTTTTGTGGCTTTCTATTCCCGCAATCGCTCAAACATTGATGAATATCAAAACCAACCTTGATCTTCGCTGCATAATATTAATGTGGTTGATAGAAACAATGTACACATTTCATGTGGTCATATCACAATATTTAGAATATATTGGTTCATTTTGTAGTTTGGTACAATGTTTGCTATCAGATCAGATCACTGAAGGGTGTACCTTTCTTATTTGAAACAACATATTAATTCCTTTGCTAGAACATTGTTTGAGAGGTCTCTATTAGGCATACATATGTACAATGTACGGATATGATTTATGAATATGTTTATAGATAGAATAGCCCATTGAGGTAACACAATTTACAAAATTACAACTTTTCACTGTGTTTTTCACCGAAGTAAAATCAATTGGTTGATTACTTTGTTAATGTTAGTATTGTGTGTCAGAGTGATGATGAAAATAAAAAAACGACAAGAGGAACAGACTTGTTTTTATGTCCTGTTTGCAGCATCGCACAATCAACACGTCTATGAGCGATAGTCCCACGATGATAGCTGCTCCAAAAATGTGTCGAAATGATGAAAGCTACTTTGTCTTTTCAGCCGTATGTATGCAAAAGATCAGAGCAATTAATTAATGCAATAGCTTTTCGGTCATATTGATCTCTGTGTTCGACTTTGTTTTCATTTACAAATCAAAGAAGTGTGTGAAAAGTAGACATTATTATTGCGACTGCTATCTGTACAATGGTTAATGGCAAAAAGTGTGAAATTTAAACCAAAAAGTCATGCAAAAATTCGCAAGTTCATTTTTTCATGAAACAACTGACGTTCAACACTCAATGTGATAACATGCAGCTGAAAATAATCAAAGTGACGATTCTTATTTTGATCTTGCTTTCGCTTTATTTGAATGATCTACTTCATGGGATTACAAAACAGAAAAAAATTCGAACAAAATATGTGACAATATTCAAAGGAAACTATTGGTGTCATTCTCTGCAGGTTGATTGCTAACAGGTGTAGATACCGCTGTATTTCTCGTAGATATCTTTGCGTCTCAACCGGAATGTTGGAAACTCCTTGTATAGTTTCACCAAGACCGCAACATCTGAGAACGATTCAGAAAAAACGAAAACGAAAACGAATTAGCTAAACGAACATTATTGATTGAAATGGTTAGGAGTTTGCACTTGGAAAATGTCAACATACCGATTTCTTGGAAGACAATCTCTTCATTGACACCCGCTTGTTTGAGGATTTTTCCTTGTGGATCAATGAGCATTGTATGACCGTACAGCACATAATCTTTGACCTTCTCATTTCGAGCTCCCGAGATGGCGGCGACAAACATTTGATTGTCGAACGCCCGAGCCTTATGGACGATTTCCCAGTAGTTGTGGAGCGAATACTTATCTCCACCAAGAATATCGTAAGCGGCTGGAACGAACAGAACTTCGACTCCCAGCTTGCGGTAAATTTTGATAAATTCATCATAGCAGGCGTCCCAGCAGATGACCAGACCGCATTGGATGTCATCGATCTTGAATATAGTGACTTCATCGCCCGGAGTGAAAACGTTGACTTCGTCGAGTTTGGTTCCATTGGCGAAATCGATGTCACATAAGTTGACCTGAACAGAAATAGAGAAATGAAGCAAAATAGATTGTATTAGCGCATTTGACTAATATATTCGTTACTGATTGAGTGAAATTGTAGAAAAAACTCATTCTTTAGGAAAGAAGTGTTGATCTATTGATCTGTCGATTCTTACCTTGCGATGACGGGCGATCAGTTCTCCATTCGGGTTGAACACAAGAGCCGTGTTGTAAAGTTTTCCATTGTCGGTCTCGGCTATTCCTCCAATAAGATAGATGTTGAATCTCTTGGCCAATCCAGACATGTGCTGAGCAGTTGGACCGTTGATCGGCTCGCCAGCATTCTCGAAAACACCTTTGTCGGATTGATAAAAGTAGTTGAAGCCCTCTTGAACCGAAATCACTCGTGGACAATACTTCGAAACGGCTTGCTCCACCATTTCGGACAAGTGTTGCAGGGTCTCCTTGAGGCCTGGCTTGGTGTCGAATTGAATCAAAGCGATTCCGAGTTCTGTGGAAAAGAGAAGAAGGAAGTTTTGAGAATAAATTAACCAACTGTTGAGAATAAAACTATGAATCTGGCGGAATGCGAGTAGAGAATGGAAAAGCGCTTACTTGTTTTGCGTGCGGTTGCCATCGTACTGAACTTGATGCATGCAAATGCACCGCAAGTATTTGCTTTTATAGATCCATCTTATCACATTGAGCCTTTAAATTTAGTTGTTTTTTTATGAATTTTATTGCGTGACCTATGGGATCAATTGCAAACATCTTTTTCGTTTTGCTAATTCCTTTTTCTTTAATTTGCACTTAATCAACTAAAAACAAAGTCAAGCTTGATATGGCTCACAATGTGCAGCCGAAGAATAAAGAAAACACATTTTTGCATCTTAAAGCATTTTTGTCGCAATGATCAGCGTGTGCCAGTGTGTCGCAAAAAGTAACAAATTTTGCGCTATTTGATAATTTATTATTCCGGCGCATGCACAACTTATCAGGCTCCTCAATCGAGCAATTAATTAATTGAATCATCGGTTGGCAGTGTAAAATGCGAATAATTGCATTTAATGGACTTATTGATTGTCGAACGGCGAATGTAATCAGCATGGGAGGAATAAGAAAACGAAACGAAAAACATGTCGTTTTGAACTGTGCCTTGTCGTCATTATCGCACAGAAATTAAATTTCGTTTAATTCAGCATTTTCGTTTCAAGAGATATTTTTTCCATCAAAGTTGTGGAATAATAAATTTAAAAAAAAATTAAGCTTTTGTGTTCTTTATTACATCATTCACATTTATTTTTGATGGTTTTATTCAACAAAATAACCCCGAAATATTGATACGACTTGCATCTGCACCATTTATTGTTAAAAGAGACGTTGCTTAATGTAAAAAAATATTCCGTTCAAATAATTTGGATCTTAATTTCAATTTTTATTTTTATTTTTTCACCCAGTTAATGTATGGTTACAATGAATTGTTTCTTTAAGTAATTTAATGTGTTCATCTGAATCTAAAATTTTCTTGATTCTACTAATTTAAATGAATTTCGGATGCATTCTTATTTCCTCCACGTATGAAGTTGACAACTATGAACAAAATTTTGCGTTAAATCCGTACCAACTCCCATAGTCATTCGACGAATTTCACTCATTTTGTGGTTTATTCAAAAAGAATGAATTCCATGAATCAAAAAAAATACCAATAGCTGTTAAAAATGCATTTCTAAAATAATCTAAATGATAAGAAAGTGGTTTAAATACCGTATATAACATGTTCAATCGGATTTGTATCGGATCGCGAAAGCACAAGCAGAGTTGTTAAGAAACCAGCGATAGATGACGCTTGAAATGATTTTTTTTTGCTTACTGTATTTCATCGTAATTGATTTGACCGTTTGTAAAATGGTTCTGAATCTACTGAAATTCATTGACAACTGTCGACCCTTTTTTCTACATTTTCAACGAAAATTCAAATGTCACGAATTTAACAAACCTCATCTATTCATCTGAAACACATGTACAATTCTTATTTAAATGAAGACCAATTTAAAACACACAATCAATTTTCGAGCAATCAAAATCACGTTTGGAATGGAACAGATGCTAATGTCCCATACACCAACCTATTTCGGCAGCATATGATACTAGGAGACCTAACGCTGTTCCAATACCGCCGAATAATATATTCCCAAGGCCAGTTACTCCCAAATATTGAAATATAGCGAAGAGACTTCCTACCGCCATGTTTCCTATGACTGCCTGCCATGCCGCGGCATATGATCCAGCGACCACACCACCGATTGTGAATCCAATAAATGGAAGTGACATAAGGCCCAAAACGCCGCCTCCTACGGTGCATCCAGCGACCAAAGCTCTAAATTTTAATAGATTAGATTCACAAACCAAAGGTTTGTTACATATTGGACATAGCTCCCACATTTTCCACTGTGCAATTTCGGCCAGATTAATTTGATGTAGTATTTTGCGACGGTTAAATTTCGAAACAATATCTTGAAATGAAAAAATAATAATGATATTTTAACGTTAATTTCATTGCAAATACGCAAATAATTTCATTCAACACCTTCTTTGGCATTTACCTAACTTGACAAATAGTAATTCGTTGTTTGTTTTTTGTTATCGGTGCGTCGATGAATCCACGAAATTGATAAAATTGAATTTTTGTCACGTTCAACTCAGCAAAGCTGCACAAGGTAAACTATCAGTGTTTCATACGTTGTATTACTACAGCAACTCGATTTAGAAAAAACGCTGTGTTTCTTCATGTTCCGCGACCAATTCAATACGCTGATTTTATTCTCAGCGGATCAAATGATCTAATACAACTGAACAAGTGTTGAGTTCCACTGAATTCATACTTTACAAGATCTAACCAATGCTGAGACACATATATTGTCACAAATTGGTTGTTGCACGCTTACTTTCTATGCAAACATATAGTAGTTTTGTTGTGAAATAATGTAGTTGTTTATCTTTCCGAGGTGAGAGCAAACACGTAATATGGCACGTCTAGCTGGAAAATAAAATGTACCATTTCATTGCATTGCATTTTAATGCTAAATTTCCTCCATTCTCATTCTCCGATTTCTTATTGTACAATGTTCATACATCGAGTACGAAATTGCAGTAGTGTGTCGATGACATTCTAATAAGGGCACGTCAATACAATATATGCGATAAATATTTCTATTTTGACATTATCTAACGATGTGGAATAGTGAGATTGTTCAAACACAGATTTAATACACCTACATATTCGCAAAGTCATATATAGTTCTTTGTTCAACTGCACAAAAATGAATTGCATATCACTTGGCAATCAAATAGAATCGATTAGCAGTAATAGACAGCGGACCTTTTCACAAATTAGCCACAATCATTTTGGAATTTTCCTTTAATTTGTGAAGCTCCTTTTGAAATCTGTTATTAACACTTTAAAATGGGTGATGACGACCGAAATCTTCCAACGATTGCAAGGCTAGCAATTGCCGCTGGTGTTGGGCTAGGCAAAAGGATATTGCAACTTTTTTGACCAGAAAAAACGCCATCTAACGTCTAGCCCGTAAATTATTTTACTGTACATTTAGATGGTAGAGCTTGAACAAAAGTTCGACACTATGCATAAACTTGGAGAGAGCTTGATAAACTTGATGAAATACATATATTTTATGGTCTTTGCAATACCCCTATGGGACTAGGTGTTGCATATGGCATTCATAAGGTACTGAAGAATGTAAATTCAGATCATGGCTTGGAAAGTGCGCAAAGTGGTTCACTACAGCTCCAATCGGAAGCTCACAGCAAAATTCATTTAAATGAAAACATGCATGTGATTGAAAATAAGGCAGAGTGTCGACGATTCATAAGTGAACTCAATTCGTAAGCTATTCACCAGTTGCTTTGTTAGAACTACAATCATACCAAGGTCATTGCGGTCTCATTTGTTTGCAACATTTGGACAATATTCCTTGGGATCTCAGAGTAAGTGTAAACTTGTGAATGAGGAAAATGTACAAAGTCAAGATATTGAGCATTTTATTTTATCTCAAAATTAAACTATCCCTTTTTTGTGCATATTCTCTATCTTTTTGGTTCATCAAATTTTCATAGGAAATATTGGAAAATGATGAAATCATTCAGATTGGAGTTGATCCTGGCATTGATGCAAAATATCTGTTTGACGACTACGGTATTCGTGTTCGAAGAACATTTGATCTTCGTTACATAGCTGCATTAGCTGGTTGTCAACCAGTTACATTGGCTAAGATGTCTCACGATAATTTGGACTTCAAGCTTAAAAAGAGGTCAGATAAAGTATTACACTTCGATTGGAACACACCAACTTTGATTGATAAGCAAATCGAGTATAGGGTAAAATGTGAATAATGTGCCATTTGAACTATTAAAATTTTTCGGTAACAAACTATTCAGAGAGTAACATCCAACTTGTCATTTTTATAATGAGCAGGCTCGTGTAAACACCATTATTACCAAATAATGTCCCAAATTCTTGAACCTGTATCACCTGTGGCGCTCAAGGGATTCCACACGAGTTGATTCAACTGCGACTGTTAAAATAATGATTGAGACCTACCGATCAAAATGAAATTGAACATTTTCACAGAAAATATTCTTTTATACATATAATTCTTTCTGCAGTTGGTGTTGGTTGAAAATTAAACATTAATTTCAAGTTTGTAGCTCCAAACATGTTTCTTTTAAATATTTAATAAAAGCAAATGTCATAGAATTGTTAATGTTGTTTTTTTTTCTCGAACAAATAAGGTTTTTATCCACATCACATAGTTTGCTTTTAAGTTTGGAGATTTGTCATGAGGTTAATTGCACATGAAAAGGTACGTCATGCCAATCATATGCACAAAATATACACATAAGTAATATATACTGTGTACTCCAGCACCAAGTTGATCATTCACAATTTCGAACAAATATGAAAGAAATTAGCTGGGAATGAAAATGCCGACAGAGTATCAACTGACACTAATACTTGTGCAATTCGTTATTATTGATTCAACATTAGTTATTTTGTAAAAAAAAACAATTGTAAATGATAAAGAATTGGATTGAATTTTTGGGACAATGTATTTTTATTTTGATTTTATTATAAATCAATAACAATAGAAAAAAAACTCAAAAGTTGTTTCCCATGTCGATCGTTTGACAAATATTTCGCCCGCAGAAGATCTGTCTATTGGTGAAATTTTTAAGCATACGATATAACTGACGGTATATTTAATAAGTGTCTCAAAGTTGCATCGTTGCGACCAAAAGAGAAGCCCATTACCACATGGTGGTCACCCTTGGTGTACTCCGTCATCTTACTGAAAGGAGTGGTACGCATATTGCCAATGCGCACTTCCTTGCTCCCACCATTGTTTTTGTTTTCGTTTTCTTCTTGCAAAAATTTTAAACTACGCAAAGCTGGATCTCTGTCTATTTTACCACTATTGGATAATCTATAGTTAAGACCAAGGTTATTGTCATGTCCGCTACTAAGAACGCCGCTTGGATTTTGTGATGAACCATCTTCTAAAGCTTCTTCAATTTTCTCTCTCATATCCATAATGTTCGACATTAAATCTTTGGTGAACTCACCGATTGATTTAAGTCTTTTAACGGTTAAACTGGCTCCTTGTACCACAGATTTAAAAGTTAATCTACCTGCTTCGGCAATATGATATGTT